CTCCCCTGCCCAACACCCAATAGATGTTATTCTTATATGTGCACTTATGTGTTGATCAGTTAATACCAATTTGATGACCCTGACCTTTTTAAATGGAAAATGCTTAGACAAGTGACCAGGATGGTCTCCATGGCTACCGTAACTCCAGCACACCTCATGTTGTAAGTTTCCACACCTTAAATTAACCAACAATCCTCACTATAAGAAACGAAAAAGCAGGTCAATCTAGCAGTGAAATAATTATATCATGCCATATAAAGAAATTGTAAGAAACATCTGAGAAATTGAAAGTACTGAGCAACTCAGTAGCTGAGATTATCTTTCCATAGAAAACCAGAACAACTTTCCAAGACGACAAATGGCTATAAGATTAAATATTCTCTTCACAGTCAAATGTGTAATTTTCTCACCCTCCGAAAAACAATAAACTTTCAGTGGAAGAATTAAGTCAAAAGCCCATGACTTGTTGCCAATTGCTATGGTTTCCTTTTCTAAGTCATCAGAGCCACCTGTCAAGAGACCCAGGCCTTCCAGCCAGAGCAGGCTTTTCCAGCTGCCAAATCCGTCTCAAATGATCATTACCGTCAACACAGGTTCCTATTACACCCGTTGGAAAAAGCTTAAAACGCCTATAATACCAAACCAATGTATTTCTACAGTTTTGTCCGGTGCATTAAAATAAGCTTAAATGCTGAGCCACATGATAAGGGGCTGAGCTCATGATGCAGGAGATAGCACTTCCCTCAAACGAGCCCTTCTCTCCTTTCCTCCGAAGCTAGCTCTCTTTGTAAATTCAAGAAAATACTCCAGCCTACAAAACCCTGGCGTGTTCTCGGTTCCCTTTACACTTAGTCACAAGAGAAATGCTGAATCATGACTCCGAGGTTGTAAAAGAAAAACTATTTCGGCCAGGACCCCAGGATCCCCGGGGAATCCCACGCTTCTGCGTTCCTTCGCTTTGCACCTCCGCCCGTCTCCATCCGGAGCGGTGGGACGGATTGGAGAGGCTCCGGGAGCAGCCAAGGGTGCAGGGCGGGTGTGTGTGTGTGTGGGGGGTGTCTTCTGCTCACTCGCCTGCTCCTCCCCAAAACCCACGCTGCCCTGGCAGCTCAAGGTTCCCGCCTCGTCTACTCTGAATGCCACCCCTAAGGCGCTGATAGACTCATCTGCAAAGCTGTCCAACAGTCTCCGAGAAATTCCCAATTTAGAAGCATCGCCACCACCGCCACCCCTCCGAAACCCACTGGGTCCGCGCTACTCTCACGAGGTCGCCAGCCGGCAGGGGTCAGGGGTGCGGAGGCGGTTCCACCAGCCGGCTCCCAGCCCTGCCCCAAGAGGGAGAAGCCCGCCGAGAACACAGACACTTGAGAAACTCGATTGCAACTCCCCGGTCCGCACCTCCCGAAAGGCTCCCAGGGCCCAGATTAGCGGGGCCCTGGACCCAGGAGCAGAGCGCCCAGGACAGCCGGAGAAAGAGGGAGGCATGGAGGGAAAGGGCGGCAAAAGAAAAACGTCCCCCAAGCCACGCTTCACTCCCGCAACTTCTCCCAGCCCCGGGGCGGAGCGGGTGGTGCGGTGGAGGGTCAGGGGAGGCAGCGTCCGCGAGCGCGAGGTGAGGGACTCACTTGAAGGTGAGGACGCAGAGCGGCCGGTAGGACTTGTGGCTGGTGTTCTCGGCCATGCCCTTGCCCCAGAAGTCGTTGGTGAAGATGCCCCAGCGGAGCGGGGCGCCTGGCCGCACGTCGGGGTTGTTCACGATCGCCCACACGTCGTCGTGCACGAACTCGCCCTGCAGGGAGCGGCCGTAGCACAGGCAGCTCGCCCCGGCCAGCAGCGCCGCGGCCCCGGCCGGCGCGAACCCGCAGCCCCGCCGCCGGGAGGGCGCGCGGTCCCCGCCGCCGCCTCGGGCAGACGTGGTCACCACCATCGCGCCGCGGCCGCCGCTGCCCTGGCCTCGCCCGGGTGTCTGGCATCCTCCCCTGCCGGGGACCCGGAGGCGCGCGGCGGATGCCCAGAGGTGGGCTCAGGCATGGTGCGGCGGCAGCTGGACCCGCCGCGGGCGCCCCGCGCTCCGCCGCCGCCCGAGCCGCGGAGTTGGCCCAGCTGCAAATAAACAGCAGTCCCCCCGCCTCCCCCGGCCATCGCCACCTCCTCTGCCCCACTGCGCATGCCCGCTCGCTCTCGCCTCCACCCCCCAATCCCGGGACCCGGGCCGGTTCCCCCCTCCCTGGTACCCCCGCCCGCGCCCGCCTCGCGCCCGCGTCCCCGGCAGAGGGAGTTTGCGCGCAGGTGGAACGGGGTGCCGGAGGGACGGGGGCGCGGCGCGGGGCTGCGGGGACACGCGGGGAAGGCGCCCGGGGTCCCGCCTGGTGGGGCCGGGGAGGGGGGCATCTGGCAGAGCCCTCCGGGCCGGGCCGGGCGGGCCCAGCAGGTGCGCAGCCCGGAACCCCTCACCCACCTCCCGGAGAGAAAAGTGGCCGCCGCTCCCCGGGAAGTTGCCGGTTTTCAGCACCCGGGACAACAGCAGCGACCGCGCCACGGAGTCGCTCTCGGGCCGCCCGGCGCTCGCGTCCAGTCGCCCGCGCGTGTCCTCCTGCCCGGTGTCCTCCTGCCCGGGCCTGTCGCTCTCCGCCCGGCGCTGCGTCCCGCCGTCCCAGCCTCTGGGTGGAGGAGCCCGCGGGGACACGCAGCGTCCAAAAGCACCTTCCCGAAAGCCCAGAGAAAGGGTCTCGCTGTCCAGGCACCTCCCGCCCGTCCTCCGCGGGTTTGTTCCGAGGCGCCACCGGCTGTTTAACTTTACTGCCCCTTTCTGGGCCCGCACTTGTAAAAAGTTCCAGGTTCCATTTTTGGTTTGAGCTTGGGAGCTGAATTGACTTATGAAGCATTTCTCATTTTTATGTTTTTACTGAAACTCGTAGGACACTTTGGGAGATGCTGAACAAATTATCTTTTTTCCCCCCTATCTAACTGGATCACTTGGGTCTGATTATTTCCTGGGCTGTGGGCGTGTTTGCACTGTTCCTGCTATTTCAATGGGGGGCGGGGTGACTGCGTTAGGCCCTTTGGCATTGGCTCTTCAACTTCCTGTCTTTCTGAAAGATTTTCTTTTTTTAAAATACTAATTGTAATATGTGAATAAATTAGTTGTCCAGCGTGATGATTGCTAGAAGTTCTCCAGATCTGAAAAATCTATTAATTCTTTTGGGCCCCTTGTAAATTTCCATTGCTGTGTCTTTTTAAATTGCTTGGAACTGGATACATCCAAATAGAGAAACTGAAATAGAAAGTCATCGTTTTATTCTCATCCTCCCAAAATCCTGAAAAAGTTTGTTTACCTAACAAAATAAAATGAAAAGCAGAAATTGTTCTTCTACTGTCTGAGCATTTGTGTGGCTCTTCACTATACCAAGTCATTTTTTTGCATTTTTAAAGATACATCTGATCAGTTGTAAATTCAATGAAGTAAGACAAACATTCCAACTCAGGAAACATTTCACCCATTTTCCCTTTTTGTTTTTGGTAACTTGAACTTAGTGATTAAGAAATGAAACTGGGAATCCTGAACATGAATGTTTTCATCCTTTCATCAAAACCTTTGACCCTTGGTCACTTTATTATCCAGACATTGCTGGGTCTGCTATCTCCCCACATAATACACTACAGCCTTTCCTCTTCACCTGCCTGTCAATTTAATAAAAATATATTAAGGCATACTTTTGTGCTACAATGTGCTAAATATAGAGTTGGGTGACCAAAGCTGCTAAAATCAGGGTGGGGAGGGGTTAGCACCGTAGAAGTCTTGCCTTCTAAGAGATGATTAGATGGTGAAATTACCGTTGCTGAAACAACAGTAGGTACTCTAGGCCAAGGTGTCAATCCTTACCTGTGATTAACGGAGGCTTTCTAGAGACGATGTCTTAACCCAAAAGAGTGACTCTAATAATAGATTTTTATAGAGAGCAGACCTTTTCTCCTTCCTCAAATCATCCTTAAGTCCAGTGCAGAAGGAAGAGCCCTGCCTACCCCCTTCTTATCTGAGTTGTTTTCTTTTTTAGATGAAAACAATAGCAAAATTCTCCCTGACCGTGGAGAATAGTGAAGAAGGACTAAGAGCTGAGACTCCAAAGAGATAATAGCAAGGAGAAGAGAGGAAACCTCAAAGTGGGATTCCACGTTTCTGAGCACAGGGAGTTCAATTAAGCTTTCCTCTATGTTCAGTGGCATCTCTATTCAGTTTAGTTCAGATGAATTTGGGATTAATTTAAGGAGTTACCTCAAATCTTCTCAAGGACAACCAATAAGTAAATACCCTTTAAAATTAGACAGTTTGTTTGCAGCCCCATCATTTCCTGATTCAGTGCTGCTCTGTGTTACAGGAAAATAGTAAAAGTACTGATGTTAGAGAGAGGTTTACATCGACAGGCCAGCCCATCAAGCCATCTGCTTCTCTCTTAAGTGTAAAACATTTATCATTGGCTAACAAAGGGACCCAAAAGGAAATTAGATTTAATTCTTGTAACTTCGTCTCTGATTATTTTTAAAGGCTTGGTAATTAGAGCAATACTACCTTCCAGGATACCTTTTGTCCACTCAGAGTAATTTAAAACATAAATTATTACAGAAGTGCCCCTCTGAGGCTCATACAGTCACTTATACAAATTAAAATAGACCATATTCCTGAAAAAGATTAGGACACAACTAAAAATAAATCAAGGGCAAGGTATTTTAATCAAACAAACTTCAAATTACTGCTGACAATGATTCTTTGCATAACCAAACTTTAGCCAGACTTCTGGATCTTCTCCTAGGCCCATCTGTGTACTTCCTTATAAAATCCAGTTTTAGCAAAGAACCCTGCTCAGTCAGTTTAGCCAAAACCCCCAACCCTCCATATCTGATCAGATTCCTCATCCCCCAACATTCCCTAGGTGATGTCTGATTATCCTGGTCTGCCTTCAGTGAGAATCCTATTAGGTCAGTTTAGCCAGAATCCCTTAGTAACTTTCCATCCACTGATCCCCACCCTGTTCCTTGGCTATAAAGACCTACTTGCCCATTCTGTGTTTGAAGTTGAGCCCAATCTCTCTGCCCCACTGCAAGACCTCATTGCAGTGGTCCCTATACCAAACATGATGGTCCTGAACAAAGTCTTCCTTACCATGCTTTGACAAATATCATTGAATAGTCTTTTTCTTTAATGCTACTCACTGTGCTTTCTCAGCCTAATGACAGACCCTGTTCGGGTAGTTTATGTAAATGATCAAACGCCATGTCACAAAGGCAGAAATTTAGTAAAAAAGCTGATAACATAATTTATACTAAAAAATAATTTTTGTTGTCTAGCTATTTAAATATTACCTGTTCTTGAAGAAAATACAGAAAAGTGAAAAGAAAAACCAAAAAAAATCAAATTTTCCTACCACCCAGTGGGCCCGTGGAACAACAGGCAACATGTGCACTAAGAAGCTGGCCCAATACCTGGCAGAGCAGGTGCAGGGCACCCTGGGGTACTGCATGCTCTGAGGGGGTGACTGTGCCCAGAACTGGGCCCAGACTGGTGGCAGCAATGGTGGCAGCAGAAACAACAGTGGTGGCAGCCGCTGCAGCCCCAGGAGACAAGAGGAGCTCTTCATGGAGGTAAACTGGCTTCCCTTTCCACCCCTAGAGCCCATCTCTGTGGCATCTGCACAGAAATAATATAAAAGAACATCAAAAATTATTTGTGATCTTGCATTTTCTGGCCCTCAGGCAATAAACTTGGCATATTACTACAAGACTGAAAGCATACCATGTGCATTGCAATAAAGTGCATTGTAGGGAAGGAAAACTGTCTTTTTCCTCCTATCCTTTTGGATTCTCAGCTAGGTCTTTGTGACAAAAGATAGATTAATAAAAAAAAATCATATAAATTTATTTAATATAAATTTTATGTGACACAGAAGCCTTCATAAGGATATAAAGACCTGAAGAAACATTTAAACCTCATTGTTTTTATACGAAGTTTGCTGAAGAGTGGAGAGTCGTAGGAAAATGTGATAGGATAAAAAGGGGTGTGAACTATAAGAGTAGTAAGAGGTGGGGAGAGGCACTTACAAGGCCTGTTCATTCAGATTCCTCTGGGCATCCCTCCATCTTTGCAGATAAGGATGCTCCTTTCCTCGAAAACTGATGCAACATTGCAAAGCAAATATCCACAGTCTTGGAAATTAAATTTTAACCTTAGTGTGTATAACAGAAAAGACCATTATTTTCATCTGAGTGGAATTTTAATTATATACATTTTTCTTTTATATTTTAATTACATATAAATAAAAAAGGTGCTTTAATAGTTCCTTGTACAACCACCACAATTTGCAAGAAATGCCAGAGGAAGCACTAAAATGCCATTGTATAAATTTACATTTAAAATTAAATTCAGACTTACACCAAACAGATTGATAGGAAGAGTTAAATTTTTTTTGAAAAATTCTTCCATCAGAATCAGGAGCTCAAGATGTACTTTATATTTCAATATAATTTATCAGACATTTATCCCAATGTTGTCATAGGATATAAAATACTCTTAATAGCTTCAGTAAGGGTTGGATCAGCAGAAGGATGCTTCTCAAAATAAAAGAATATTTTTTAAAGAGGCCCTGATTCATAGCATTTGCTGATTTCCATGGTATAAATATTCTCACCGTGATTGATTTCATGCCATCAATGTCACCGAACACAGAGATGGGAGGAGATGCATTCTACAGTATTCTCACCAGAAATATGCAGTAAATAAGATAAAGAGCATATTAATAGTAAAATAATCAGAAAATGAGTTTTGAACATTAGTTGTCTTCACTTTTAATCTAATTTGCATAATTGTTGGTTTATATAAGTTAATCTTTTTTACAATGGTTATGTTTAACAAGTAGCTTATAAAATTCCTAAGAA